GGGCAACATACGTAACCTAAACATCTGTACCCCCATAATATGCTGAAATAAAAAAAAAAAAAAAAGATACACATTCTACCCGGAACCAAAAACAAAACAAAACAAAAACAAAAACAAAAACAAAAACAAAAACAAACTATACCTCTGAAGGGTATCGTACCTCTCACAGAATATCAGAGGCTGTAATCCTTAACATATAAGCATGAATGGTAGGATCTAAATCCACAGAAGAATCAAAGACGGTACCTCTATCACAGAGAGATTCAACTTCCTGGTACTATTTCTTAGATCTGTTTATTTCTTTTGCATTACTGTCACCTGTATATATATTTTTTCACTCACTTGTATAGTTCAGCTAATCCCTTTTTTTGGAAGCCTCTGTTACTATTTTCAATTCTTCTTAGAGTAGTTTCTGGTAAGAATAGGGTCTCACAAGTTTAGTTTTGTCCTTTGACAGCATAGGAGGTTCCTTTTTTGCATTTATTATTCTTCTTTAATCTCTGTTAGTATCAGTTTGTTTGTGTTTGTCTATGTACTGAATTCCTTTGGACTAGATTTCCCCCCATTCTCTAAAATGTTTTATACCCATTATGCCATGAATTCATGGAGAACTGATTACAGCAGCTCGAGCTTCTCATCGTTGGCTCTCAAAGCAGGCTTTCAGGGTAGAGTCGTCCAGCGTGCCAGTTCGGCCCAGGTGTCTTTCTCTTTGGCCTCCTTGTCTTTCTATTAATATATACTTTCCTTTACACAATTCGGGAAGAGATCTTGGCTCATTGAATACTTGATATATTTTTTTAAAAGCCTATTAATTTTTTCCTGGTGAGATTTTTGCCTTTATTCTGTTTGCTTATGTTACAACATTGCTCACAGCTTAAAACTAGAAAAGTACACAGTGCCATTTCCTTCCAACAATGGTACTGTAGATTGTTCTAATTTACCATGGTTTTACTTATGTGATGTGGAACATGATACTGATACCTTTGATACCTAGAATATCACAATTCTTAAAAGATTCATATGTCAGTAGCCAAAGAAATATCCATGGAAAGAAAGGAAGGAAAAGAAAGAAAGGAAGGAAAGGATGGAAGGAAAGAAAGGAAGAAAATGTCTTAGATAGTATATATAATAATAATAATCCACATACTCTTTCCCTTTATGTTAGTTATTTTGGCAAATTACCAGAAGATCAAGGTTCTGGTCAAAAGGCTAAAGTAGATTTCAAACAGAAGTGCTCTATGTCTCTCAATGCTAGGACTATTACTCTCATTGTGACCCATAATAAATTACTTTTTTAGCTACTTGAGCATCAAAATAAAAACTTATCCTCTTAGCCAAAAATTAATAGTAATGCCCACCTTCATCTTCACTGCTGTCAGACTCAGGAAGTTTGATTCTTCTCCTTTTTTTCTTCATATTTTCAGTTTCCTTTGTCTCATCATCAGATAACTCTACTCTCTTCCCTCTGTTGCCACGCAGGAATAAATTAAACATGTTACAGAGATCAAAAATTAAGTATTCACAGGCTCCTATGAGTTCTGCTTTATAACCCATGATCTTAATTCCAGAGGGAGAAAAGAGTAGCCCACTAAGGATTCTTTTTAAGGATATTCTGCTAACTGACCACAACTAGGTCACTTCATGGGGTGACCAGAATAAAAAATTTCTCTAGTTCTCTAGAGACCACTGGAAGCTATGACCAGGTTAATCAAGAATCTTTTCCAATTTCTTCTTACTTTCCCTATTAGCCTTTCAATCATTCAACAAGCATTAAATAAGCAGCTACTACCTATATACAAGGCTCTTTACTAAACACTGAGGATGCAAAGATCTGGAAGAAAATACTGTTATCAAGAAGCTCTGACAAATACACTAGCCAAAACTCAATGCGATAAATTTTACTGCAGAAAAAAAAATGTTATGGTATATGACTCTGAAAACTTAAAAGCTAAGTAGAAGTTCATCAGGTAGAAAGGGGAGATAAATATTTTCAAGACAAAGAACAACATGAGCAAAGGCACAGATATCCCTTAAAGTGATTCTAATGACATAATTAAAAAACCTAGACTCCATCTTGACATTATTTGGCTCCTCTAGCTATTCCATAACACTACTCATTCAACCAACAAATAACTTCTCAAGGGCCTATTGTGTGTTAGAAACACAAATATATACAAGACACAGTATTTGTCAGCAAGTACCTTACGTCTTACGTAACTTTAAATATCAACATTTCTTTCTACCTCGAGGTACAAAAAGAACAAATTAAACTCAGAGTAAAAGGAAATAACACAAATAAATGTAGAAATCAATGAGATAGAAAATATTTATAAAATTAACAAGTTTTTTACAAACCCAATAAAAGAGAAATATATATTACCAATCAGGAATGAAACAATGAAGGAATCTGTGGTGATAATTACAGATTCTACAGAAACTCAAAGAATAAGGCTATATTATGAACAACTTTATGCCAATGAACTCAACAACTTAGATGAAGCAGATATATTCCTTTAAAAACACAACTCAGCAAAAGCGATCCAAGAACTAGGGAATCTCAACAGCTCTGTTTAAAGAAATCAAATTCACAATAAAAAAAAAAAAAAAACCTTCCTACAAACAAAATCGAGGCCTGGATTCACTGGTGAGTTTTATCAAACATTTAAGAAAGAAATAATATATATCTCACACAAACTCCTTCAGAAAACAAAGGAAACTCTTCCCAATTACAGTCATGCACTACTTAATGATGGGAATACATTCTGAGAAATTCATTGCTTGGGGATTTCATTGTGTGAACATCACATAGTGTACTTACATAAACCTAGATAGTGTAGCCTACTATACACCTGGGCTTTATGGTATAGCCTATTGCTCCTAGGCTACAAGCGTGTATAGCATGTTACTGTATTGAATACTGGAGGCAACTGTAACACAAGGTATTTGTGTATTTAAACATATCTAAACATAGAAAAGTTACAGTAAAAATATAGTATAAAAGATAAAAAATGGTACACCTCTGTAGGGCACTTACCATGAATGGAGCTGGCAGGACTGAAAGTTGCTACAGGCGAGGCAGTGAGTGTGTGGTGAGTGAATGTGAAGGCCTAGGACATTACTGTACACTACTGTAGACTTTATAAACACTATACACTTAGACTATAATAAATTCATTAAAAAATATTTTTCTTTCTTCAATAATAAACCAATCTCAGCTTACTGTAACTTTTTTACTTTATAAACTTAAAATTTTTTAACTTTTTGACTCTTGTATTAACACTTAAAACACAAACACACTGTACAGCTGTATAAAAATATTTTCTTTATATCCTTATTCTGTAAGCTTTTTTAAAATTTAAGTTTTTTCTACTTAAAAAATTTTTTTGTTAAAAATGAAGACACAAACACACACATTAGCCTAGGCCTAAACATGGTCAGGATCATCAATATCTTTGTCTTCCATCTCCATATCTTGTCCCATTGGAAAGTTTTTGGAGGCAATAACACATATGGAGCTATATGATAATAATGACTTCTTCTGGAGTATCTCCAGAAGGACCTGCCTGAAGCTCTTTTACAGTTAACTATTTTTTATACATAAGTAGGACTACTGTGCTGTGTGTGGTGGCTCATGCCTCTCATGTCTGAAATCCCAGTACTTTGGGAGGCCAAGGTGGAGGCTCGCTTAAGGCCAGGAGTTTGAGACCAGCCTTGGCAACATACCAAGACCTTGTCTCAAAAAATTAGAGTAGGACTACTAAAATAATGATAAAAAGTATAGTAAACACATAAACCAGTAGCATAGTCATTTATTATCATTATCAAGTATTATGTACCATACATAATTGTATGTGCTATGCTTTTATACAACTGGCATTACAGTAGGTATGTTTACATCAGCATCACCACAAACGTGAGCAATGCGTTACACTACGATGTTACAATAGCTATGATGTCACTAGGCAACAAGAATTTTTTAGCTCCATTATAATCTTATGGGATCACTGTCATATGTGATCCACTGTTGACTGAAACTCATTATGCAGTGCATGACTGTAATTTTATGAGTTAGCACAACTTTGATGCTGCAACTTGACAAAGACATTACCAGAAAATAATTGACCTATATAGCCTTCATAAACACAGGAGGCAAAAAATGCTTAATGTACTATTACCAAATCTAATCTAGCAATATATAAAAAGGATAATGCATCATGACCAACCAGGGCTTATCCCAAGAATGCAAGGTTGGTTTAACATTTTAAAATCAACCAATGTAATTCATGACATTAAAAAAACACACCATATGAGCATCTCAATAAATACAGAAAAAGCATCTGTCAAAATTCAACACCCATTCATAAGACCTCTCAGCAAACTTAGAATAGAAAAGAACTTTCTCAGTCTGGTAAAGGGCATCACTAAAAATCTACATTTAACATCATACTTAGTAGTGAAACACTGAATGCATTCCTGGCAATAACCATCAACAGTGTTTGTACCATGGTTGGGGACATTTTAATCCATCCATATCCTATGTTCCCAGTAGGCGAGGCCCACTAGACAGAGCCCTAACCCTCTAAAATTTCACCATTTTGTTGATGTTTTCAACTCAAGTAGCCCCAACCTTACCACAAAGTCAAGTCTTTCTGGGCCTATCAGTGCTGACAGTGTCCTTTAGAATTTCTTTCAACAGACTAATTCCTACCGACTATGAGGTAGTGTCTCGAATTCCTGGATCTAGTTTTAATAGCTTGTGTGCTTTTTATTTTCTTTTCTAATTACATTTTACCACTTGAAAAATAAACTCATTGATATAAAAAGAAAACAAAGAACTTTTTCTCTTAAATTTGACTAGAAACAGTAACCCCTCATTTGGCAATCTAAAGGGAAAAACACACACACACACACACACACACACACACACACACACAATTAGGCACACTTATGCCATGTCCACAAATTCAAAATGAATTAAGGGAGGAAAGACAATCAATTTAGATCAATGGGGCAAAAAAATTACTTTGGGCTCTAAATCATTCAAACTGACTGATTCCACTTCACTAGATAAACTACTGAGCTTGTCTCTTCATTTTGGTGGTATAGTTGTATCCCTAAGGCATTAAGTAGGATTTAGTACTCAACTAAAATTGCCTGCTGTCAATAAACCCAAATAGACCTTTTCACCCCCAGTAGAGACACTCTTCCCCCACAAGGAACATTTTCCTACCTTTTTTTTTCCTTCTGCTGCATCTTAACAGGCTCTGCTTTTTTGCTGGATTTCTTCAGGCCTGCAGGAGCTGCCAGCTTTGGTTCAGTGACAGACTCTGGAGGTTGCTCCACTATTTTTTCTTCTTTCACTGCTTGTTCTGAATCCAAATTGACTTTAAGTTTATCTACAAATAAAGTATAGCAGATGATATATAACCCCATTATGCAATATTAATCCATCATTTTTTCAACAGTCTACTATGTGCCAGGTAATATGTTAGGAGCAGGGGCAAAAGGGATAAAAAAACAGTCCCTGTCCTAATAGAGAGCTCCTAGTCTATTCAGAAAACATGTCTCCTTTCTAACTACCACTCTATTTTCACTTTTGCCTCCCGCTAATTCCTCATTATATTACAGCTCCCAAGCCAAATGATACTAAAAGCAAGGCTTAGAAAAAACAAATACAATTTAATGATGTATCATCCTTTTCATTTTTCAGATGAGGAAAATAAAGAGTCAGAGAGATCGAAAGATGCTTCCCAAGAATACACAGCTTACAAATGGTGACAACAGAATTTATAGCAAGACCATTACTTTCTATTATATTCTATCTTTTAATGCTTGGATACTCTTACTATCTTTCTACTACCTTAACGATAAAATTTAAAGACTATATTGGAATCAAGAAAGTTTAGTTCAAACTCTGCTTCACAATGGGCAAATTATTTTATCTAAAAGTCAGTCTTTTCTGTAAAAACTGGGATAATATGTATAAGATTATTGTAAGAATTAAAAGAGATCAGTACTGGTTAAGTGACTTGTCCAAGGTAACACTGATAGAAAAGGTAAGAGTCAGGATTTGAACCTAAGTTAGTTTAACTACTCAAAGTCCTTATCCTTCTCCCTCTACCAAGATGAAAAACAACTACCATGCAGTGTGGAGGACTAAGAAATGCAAGTAGGACAGGCCTAGCCATCCGAGAAACACATAACGTAGCCTTCCTGCTACACTCAGTGACAGCTTTTTGCAAGCAAAGTCATAAAATACTATTAGAAAGCTATAAACCTAGTGGGGTGGGGGACCTGTGACCTCAAGGCCACATGTGGCCTTGTAGATCTCCGAGTGCAGCCCCTCGACCAAATCCAAACTTCACAGAACAAATTCCTTTATTAAAAGGATTTGTTCTGTAAAATTTGGATTCAGTTAAAAGGTCGCACTCAAGGATCCAGAAGGCCACATGTGGACTCAAGGCCACAGGTTCTCCACCCCCTTAAACCATCTAGAGTATAGGAAAAAAATTCTATCTCAGTCTTGGCTATTTACATACAGCTTAATATAATAACCTGTATATTATTTGAAAGTGTAGAAGACGGATCAAAGTGTAAAAGGCAATCTATCAATATTTATATTTTTTTCCCCCGAAGACCTGAATGGGAAATCTGAATGGTGGAATCCACCAGCCCAATGGTGGTCTACTCTCTTACATTTTTAATACTGTTGTTCTCAAGTATCAGTGCTTCTCAGACTTTTCTACCAAAATATTCCAAATTGTATAGAAAAGAAAACATGTATCTCCAGGGGCTTTAGAGGTCTGCGACCAACCCCAAAAAACTTCTCTGAAGTCACATGTGTATCTTTAAAATCTATTCAAATTTTGCATTCTATTACATAAATTATATTGTTTTAAAATTACATCATTAGGAGGAAAAATCTGCAAATATTTCCAACTTATCTCATGGGTTAAGGAAAGAAAAGTTATTGCACTGAGTCTACCAATTTCAGAAAACTGATCTAAATTAAAATACCACTGATCAAACATCAGATTCAGCATCCAGAGTTTCTTTGTGGTGGTTTCACAGAATTTTAGGAACTCAAACTTATATATATATATGCAGTTATAACTGGCCGATGAGCTGGTTAAGAGGTAGTTCGATGCAGCATTTAAAAGCAATTATTAAGGAAAATTTAATGACATTTTCTTGTTACCTGAATGATCAAATCACTTATATCATCTGACTGATTAAAAGTATCTCCTTTTAATACTCAAGAAAATATGAAACCTTTTCAAGGAAACAAAGATAACTGATGATGACTTTTTAATTTTGTTGCCAATGATAAATTTTTATCACATATAAAGCACTACTTTTAAAAATTGAGATACAATTCATATACCATAAAATTCACCCTTTTAAAGTGTCCAATTTGGTGGGTTTTAGTTGTGCAACCATCACCACTATCCAGTTTTAGAATATTTTCATCATCCCAAGAAAAAACCCTATACCCATCAGCAGTTACTTCTCAACCCCAGCCCAGCCCTTGACAATCACTAATCTTTCTCTATAGACTTGCCTATTGTGGACATTTCATATAAATGGAATCATGAAATATGTGGTCTTTTGTGTCTGGCTTCTTTCACTTAGCATAACGTTTCAAGGTTCATTAATGTTGTAGCATGTATCCATACTTCATTCCTTTTTATGGCTGAATAATATTCCATTGTCTGCATATAACACATTTTGTTTATCCATTCATCAGATGACGGGCCTTTGGGTTGTTTCCATTTTGGGGCTAATAAGAAAAATGCTACTATGAATACTTGCATACAAGTTTCTGTGTGTACATGCAGTTTTAATTCCCTTAAGTAGATACCTAGAGTGAAATTTCTGGGTAAACTCTGTTTAACTTTTTGAAGTACTGCCATACCATTTTCCAAAGGGAGTACACCATTTTACCTTCCCCAAAGCAATGTATAAGGGTTCAAGTTCTCCACATCCTTGCTAACACTTCTTACTGCCCAGCATTAAGTTTTAAATGGTTTAAGCCTCCACAATGAACTCTCTTCATCTAACTCTCACACTTCATTTTCATTGCATTGATCTTATTGTGTCAAATATAAAAAAATCATAATTTTATTCTAAACATTCAGCCTTGAAAAAATGTCTGTTAAATAAATTAACTTTGTAAGCAATTCTTTTTATTAGGTGAATATTTAATTCTTTTATTTTATCTAGGTTCTCCCCTCACTCTATTACATGCTATCCTAACACCCTATTACTCTCTGCTTAGCAATTACATCATTAACTATTTAATTTTTCCATATTTATTTGTCTCTCCCCACAGAATATAAGGGCTATGAGAGCAAGGACCTTGTTTGTCTTTTTCTCCATTATATCACCAGTGCACAATAATGGCAAGCACAAAGAAGGTGCTCAATCAATATTTGCTAAACACATGAATAAATAAGTATATATTCCTGCATATTAATAGTTTGATTTTTTAGGAAATATTCACATATCTTATATACTTTAAAAGTAAGAATTAAAAAAAAAACCCAACCAACAAACATGCAATCTTCATCAAAGTTCCCAAGAAACCATAATCTGATTGCATATAGTGGCCCAGTACCAGCCAGGCAAGCCAGTGACATCAGCATGATATTTTCACAGTGTTCCCTGTACATTGTGCCTGCAATAATACAATAATTGTGCTTCCCAATAACCTGAAAATATCACATTTTCCATATACCTGCAGAACACAAAAATATTCTTCTCTGATAGTTTTTATGGCAAATAAAAAAAAAACTGTCATCCCAATCCTTCCCTTGACCACCAGTTTAGCCATCACAGAAAAGCAGAATTCTGAGTAATTTTGCTTGCATAAGCACATAACAAAACATTTCCCTGCAAAATCTTTGTAAAACTGATGCTCCAAGAAAGTGTGCCATAATTATCCCGTGGCTCGTGAATTCTTCCTGGTATTCTGCCACATACCCTCAAGGAATGTGTACTTGATATGAGAAGTATGAAAATATGTGACTACTGGTTCTTCTCATGTGAAAGAATTCTTATTTAAATATTTTTTTAAAATAAAGATTTTTGCTTTCTCAAAAACTAAATATTTTTAAATGCTCATTACTACCTGGGCCCTTCTAATTCACATTGAAGTCTAATTAGACCTGTGAGTAATATGCAAAAACTAAAAAAAGGCAAAAGATTTATTTTTGAAACCTTAGAAGTGATAACATTCCCACTAGGCAAACTGACTCTAGCATCCACGTTATTAACCTCAACACTATACTGCTTAACCAGGCAGCCTCTCTTGTGTTTTCATCACTCATTTTCAAGAGCCCCATGAGGTAAGGCATGGTGGATCACACCTGTAATCCCAGCACTTCAGGAGGCCAAGATGGGAGGATTGCTTGAGGCTAGGAGTTCAAAATCAGCTTGGGCAACATAGTGAGACCCCATCTCTACAAAAAATAAAAAAAATAGCTGGGCATGGTGGTACACGCCTATAGTCCCAGCTACTCAGGAGGCTGAGGCAGGAGGATCACCTGAGCCCAAAAGTTGGAGGCTGCAGTGAATTATGATTGTGCCACTGCCCTCCAGCCTGGGTGATACAGCAAGACCTTGTCTCTTAAAAAATAAAAAATAAAAATAAATTTTTTTTAAAAAAAGGGCCCTTGAAGGGAAATACTTCATTCTCTTTTCAAGGCAGGAAGTAAAAATAGGAATAGTAAACTACCCTCCAAAAAATCTCAACTGAGTCCAACTCACCCATATAGTACACTGTTCTAGTTGGGTTACCTTCATCAATGTACTGATAGGTCAGGACACTGGAAATTTACGTTAGGATGCAGGAATGCTACCTATAGTCTCCTGGCTGGCCAAACACTAGACAAAGTGGCTTTCATCTCAGGTAAGATATATTATTACATTAACATTCATTTATTAGTCAGAGGAAAGTAAGAACATGCTTACTCATAGCAGCTTTTCCAAAAAAATTGCTCAGCACATTCCCTTTCCCTGGTGCCTTGCTGCCTGCCGAAGATGCCTACAAAAACACAGGAAAACACATGAGATTTTTTTCTAGCATTTAGGTTGCTCTTGAAGAAGCACGGTCTTGAGCAATCTCTTCAATAGCACACCACACTGTCACGATGGTAATCTCTATAATCATGCCAAATGTGTAAGCGTTAGATATAAGAACAAATGTAGAATAATAATCCAGACCAGACAGTACCTGCTGTAATTTCCAAAGCTTAGTTTCTCATAGTTCTTATAAAATTATTATCCATGGATGTATCTAAATATTTCTTGAGCACATTTAAAAACTATTTAGTTTGACAGAATTAAAACAGATCAGAGGTAGTATGGTACACAATGGGGGGAAAACCCAAAACGTTACCTTTTGAACGAACCATGAGAAGTCGATGTGAACCCTGGTTTTACCACTCATTGGCAAGTTAGTTAAGTCTAGGCTTCTATTTTATCACATGCAAAATGGAAATGGTAATACCTCCCTCAAAAAATTGATAAGAGGATTTAAACAAAGATCAGACTCTTGGTACACAGTAGGAATTCAATAAATGTGTTTCCCTCCATTCCTCTTCTCCTTTCCCAAAGAACAGAAGCTTGAAAATGGCAGTGATGGTAATAATAGTAATAATAATAATTATACTTCTCTGGATTTTTTTTAATGGTATCTTAATGATACTTGTCTTAAGTCAATGCTCTTAAGTTAGTTCAGATGACTAAACAATTAAAAACTAAGGGAAGTGAATAAAGGAAGTAAGAAAAAAATGCATAAAATAAACAAGAATGGGAAATACACTAGGAAGACAAACATATATGGCAAAGCCCAGAATATAAGATGTTACCCAAAACGACATATTGCTAATAAACAATTCTTTGAACTTCACAATTTTTTTTTTTTTTTTTTTTGAGACAGAGTCTCACTCTTTTGCCCTGGCTAGAGTGAGTGCCATGGCGTCAGCCTAGCTCACAGCAACCTCACACTCCTGGGCTCAAGCAATCCTACTGCCTCAGCTTCCTGTGAACTTCACAATTTTTGAGGTGTTTTCACATGCTTTATTTCATCTGGATCTCACAACAATTTTGTGATGTGTACAAGCAGGAATTATCATTTTACAGAAGGAGAATCCAAGGCTTGGTGAGAAGCATTATGAAAAGAAAAAGGAACTACTTCAGATGAGACTATCAAGTATTAAAGGATTTCAACTAAAGTAGAAAAATCAGAACAAAATATTAGAACCTTATATAATTAAACTACTACCACTGGAACTATTAATACTTTTCTAGTTACCCATTTTGAGCTTTAATAAAGACATATCTTCAAGGAAGACTTACATTTGTTACTTCTTTAGCCTCTGTTTTAGTTTCCTTGTTGGTTTCTTGGGTTTTAGTAGCAGCTTTAGAGGCAAACATTCCCATAATCCCTTTGGGCTGCTGGGAAATCTGTTTGGAGGCAGGTGGGCCATGACCATTGATTGTGAGCTCATTGTTGGCTTGCATCTCACTTGACACCTGAAGGTGTGACTGCTCAAACTTTTTGGAAGATGAGGATTCAGCAGGAGCTCTAGGGACTGCAGCTGCACATTGTATGGCACTAAACCTGAAAACAGAAATGTTACGTTAAAGTAATGTGAGTATCAAACCTTATTTTTGAACTCTTACATCTTCCACAATACTTTCTTACTCTAATATTATAAAATTAGGGAATTTTAGAACTAGAATGATTTTAGAAATTTTTTGTACAAAACTCTTAATTATATAAACAAATACCGGAGAGAAATAAGTCACTTTTTTCCCTCCTCTACTCTGAAGGTAAGTCACTTGTTTTAAGTTACACATCTAGTTAGTAATAAAGACAAGGTTGGAATCAGTGTCCTCTACCACATCATATAGAATATTCTTGCTTCTTTGAAAAATCATCCTAATTCAAAGGAATAAGAATGCACCAAACAATTAAAGATTTAGTAATTTTACCATCCTTGGGAAACCAAATGGTTATCCCATGTTTTTAAAAACCTTCCTCTCATACAGCTAGACATACAATAAATATTAACTAAATCAAAACTAAGAGCTTTAAATATTAACAAATTACCTGGCAACTCTCCTGGCCAGAGTAGGTCATGCTTTAAAATATGGAAGAAGCTGGGAACAGACAAACTGGCTCCTATAACCTACTGTCCTTTTATAGCCATTTGTTAATAATTTCTAATAATACCAACTCACAGCATCAGATAAGTAAGTATGCCTAAGGCCAAGTAAAGAAATTTGGTGGAACAGTTTGCATGCCATATTAAAAGGAACATTCATCTCTTCTCTAATCATTACAGATGTACCTGTTTCACACAAATAACATAATGTAACATTCCACATTGTGAAGGGATAACTGATTCAGCCTTCTCAGAGGGTTATACTTAAAGCAAAGTTCCCCAACATTTCCTAACAAAGAAAAACATTTTACTTTCCTCAGTCTTGTTTACTGGAGAAGAGTTCCTTGACGGTTTTATTTGTCGTTTAAATTTCAGGCACCCAGAACAAGACCTGGCACATAGCAAGTGTCAGGAAAGACAAATTGAAACAATGATGATTTAAGTGACAAAGTGAGGCTTCTGGTTTCTTTCCCTTCTCTAGCGTTATCACCTCAAGTTGGGGTGGGAGATCAGGGAGATTTAGAAACTATGTGGTGATAGCAATTATTTTCTAAATCAAGCAGGCACAACTTTGAGATTAACTGCTAGAATACCTGGCCTAAGTAAAAAATCCCTAATAAATCATTTCATTTCAGAAGTAACTTTAGACTGAGCAGCCCCAACAGCTCCAAAAATCTTCCACTGATTTATCATAGAAACTCTACAGTAACACACATCTTTTATGCATCAGAGTTAAGAACAGAAGGAAATCATTTACTTTCACCCACCACTCTTCCTTTCTGGCCTTGCAGTGCTTCCATGTACAAGGAAAAGGGCAATGTTTTATTTCATTGTCAACATCTAAAGTTGGCTTGAGACAACTCTTTCTCTGTTTGGTCTGCATTCCACACCTTAGGGTCAGGACCAGGAATTGGCAACAAGGAAGAGACCAAGTTAGGCTGGGAGCATGTTCGAAAAGAGAAGAATCTCTGCTCAACACTAAAATTTCAACTTTCTTCCTGTCACAGCACTTCTTAAAACACACAAAATCATGAGTCAGATCTCAGTTGGCCCATAATTCTCAGGACCAAATACTTCTTTATTGGAGATAAATTCTTCACATTTCTACTGAGGATACTTTTAAGTATTTAGGTAAAGTTTCACTGAAGTGCTTCCTATTACCATATTGCTACTTACCATGTTTATTTTAGTGAGCCCTGTGCAAATTTGATTTTGAACTTTTGAGTCACTTTTGTTTTTATTTGCTTGATACAACAGAAAATCTGATTTTTAAAGCTTGACAATGCCATAACTAGATTTTAATACCCGTCATTTTTGAAATCTAATATTTTACAAAAAATTATCAGGGTATTAATGTTTTCCTGAAATCCTTCCCTAAAAGACACAGGTCTTGTGAATTATTACTCTCTGGCTATATAATTATATATTTTTTAAAATAAATATTTATATGCCGATTTTACTCAAGGTTTTGAGCTAAAGAAAAAAACACAACTACTTCCATCATTAATTCACTCGACAATTACTTACTGAATGCTTATCATATGCCAGACACCATTTTGGATATACAGTTAACAAATTAGACACAATCCCCATTCTCATGGAACTTACAGAAAACTCCCACACTTTTCCTTCCATTTTACAGTCAAATTTCCTGGAAAGAGTTATACATATTTGTTGTCTCACTTCCTAGTGTCCCCATTTACTCAGCTGACCAGAATCTGGTTACTCCCCTGAAAATGTTCTTACCAAGGCCATCACTAAATCCAATGGACACTTTACAGTTCTAATCTTACTAGGCTTCTCAGCAATGTTTCACATGGTTGACCAATCCCTCCTTCTTGAAACTCTTCCCTTAGCTTCTGGAACCCCATATACTCTTCTGATTTCCCTCTTATCTCTGGCTTCTCCCTAGGGGCCCCTCTTTTCCAGCCCTTCCCTTTTTTTAAAGCTATTATTAAATAGTGGTTACTATGTGCTAAGTGCTATTCTAAGTACTTAACATATATTAAGCCACTTAATCTTCCACAACCCCGTGAGGTTGGTACTATTGTTAACTTTACTGATAAGGAAATTGAAGCACAGAGGTTAAGTAACTTGCCCAAGGTCACACAGCTAGTAACTGTGGCCTAGAGTTTTATTTTCTGCCATTCTTTCATTCTATACATTCTCTCTGCATGACTGTATCTGCTATGGCCCAGTTACTTACCTATTCTCTCTGATTCCAAAATCTCTGTATCTTCACCCTGGATTTCTCTCCTTAGCGCTAGACTCACCTATCTTTTGTAGTGGACATCCCCAGTTGGATTTTCCACAGGCTTCTCAAACTCAGTATGTCTAAAACTGAATTTATCATTTTTCCCTCTCTCCTAAAGCCTCTTACATTCCCTTTCTTAGTGCCCAGCTGCCCAAGCCAGATACATGGATCTCATCCTTTTAACACTACGAACAGGGACCTCCCCCCGCAACACAATGTCCCCAACTACTACAACACATTGAGGTTTTTGATGGTTGTGACTCTTTAACTTTCATACCTATCCATCCCCAACACCACTACTTTACTTCAGGTAACTGCTGTCTCCACCCCGGATCACTGCAATATTTCTCCTCCCTGGTGACACTGCCTCCAGATTATTCCCTTCCATTCTATCTTCAACATCACAGTCAGTTATCTTTTTAAAATTTAATTCTCATCACTTCACTTGATCTGCTTAAAAATCTTCAGTGGCTCCCCAGTGCTCTCAGAATAATAAAGTCTAAACTTCTTATCCTAGTTGGCCTCTTTAGTCTTCTATCTAATTATTTCCTACCTCTCACTCTAAGTTCCAGCCATAGAAAACTATTATGGTTCTGCAAAGCATTATGTATTCTCTCTTAGCTCTGTCCTTACTTTCCCATTTCCCCTTTCCCTGGCTATTTCTACTGGGCTTTCAGGCCTCAACTTGGATGTCATAACCTTCAAGATTTCTCTGTCTTGCCCCCTCACTCTCCCCATCCAAATGTGGGTAAATGCCTCTTCAAACATCTTCCTATCCCATTATTCCTATTATAGCACTATCATACTGCCTCCCATCAGACCATCAGTTCCATGAGCAGGTACTGGGCCATATTCATTCTGTAGTGTGTGACATGTCATAGGTACTCATCAGATATTGAATTCAAATTATCTTGCTTAGTACCTGTCAAAATAGCAGGTATTCAATATATGTTTGGGAAACTGACTTGAACTCTTAATAAAACTCCACAAAGTAGGCATTATTACATCTAATTCAAGGATGAAGAAACCAAAGCTCAAAGAGTTTAAGGAATCTGTCCAAAGTCATTGGGCTATTAAGCAACAAAGCCATGACTGAAGACTTTGACCATCATTTCCAAAATGTATATTGCATTATACTCCATTACCTCCCTATACTGTGAAGGACACAAAAGATTTACAAGATCTGATCCTGGTTATGGAGGCTCAAAAAAAGTTGCTTTCGGATGGGAAGTAGAGGGATATCAAATTAGGAATAGTTTTTAGAAGGACAACATTTGAACTGGTTCTTGAAGGATGGGTAGGATTCAGAAAAGCAGAGACTGGGGTAAGGGAGTTAGAGGGGGCACAACAAACATTACTGGTGGCAGTGACAGGATAAATATATGAGAGATAGATTTATGGGTAGTCCACTGGGGTTTTCAGTATGGGTTGTGGTTGCTATTTTTCACCTTATGATGTACTAATAAAACCAGGCATGTGTCTTACTGCAAGATAAATGGGGTTTTACTAGACTTGGCATTCACTCTTAAGAGGCAGCCACTGTGTAAACATCTTACAAAATCAATTCGTAAAGAAGCCCACAAGGAACATTAAGGAGCTTACTTGCTACAGTTCTGCAAGTTGCTTTTAAGGATGTCATAGTCAGTATTGAACAGAGGCCCACTGTCCTTTAGCATGGCTTTCTGGATGCTGTACACATGGATGCTGGCAGTCACAGCTAGCTTGGACTTCACTGCTACAAGTCAACAGGAAAAGTAGTCTGTTAATACACAAACTTCATAGCATGTGGGGACTTTAACAAGAAACCCTTCTGCATTAAAACCATTTGCAATCTGTGGTGGTCCAAAAAACTCTAACAGGCCAAATAGCCACATATACAGTATAACATCAACTCTTCTGTCTGCAATGGGAACATTATGACAAGGTAGGCGGTGATGAGTCATTTCTAAGTACAGCACCTGTGAGGGTATCACTCATCTAGCGGACACTTAGTAAATATTAATTAATGATTCATGATGACTATGATGATCTTTTTCTTTTTTTTTTTCAGTCAGGGAAGAACCTTACACTCTAGCATATAATTAAAGAAGAATAAATAGCTACTATCTGAGAAGACTCATTTATATCTTTCAATTTTAGTTTAGAGAAAGCAACTCTGTAACAAAAAATACTACTAATTAGATAAGTCTGCAGAGGAAAAACACAAAAGAACATCACAAGAACAAATTTTAGGTTCCACAAGGGAAGCGGTTGTGCCTAACTTGTTCTGCGTCCCCAGTGCCTGACACACAGTAGACAATAACTAAGTATCTATAGAATGAAGAAATTTTGCTTTGCCTATCACTGTGGGAATTCGGGGGGAGGGAAGTGTATATCCCCATCACCCTGAATACTTTAGAGTTAATTTGCTAAGAAAACGCCCCCACCCCACCCCACCCCACACACTGGAAGGAGTTTTTATATACAAAGTACAACAGTGTAGGTTTTGTCTTGAGATATAGGTCCAAGATCACAAGGACTCTGTTATAAAATTCCTTTGAATTGTGTTTTTAAAAATGGTAGCATTAATAGTCTTGAAATAGTGCACAAATTTAATTTAGAAGTCTTCCTGACTTCTAGTAAAGCATTCTTTAATTTACTTCCTAAAATAACCGTTATGGAATACAACACAATATTTAGACTACTGTCTTTTTACAGTTGATGAAAGTGTCCCATATGGTATTCATAATAGTTTTGCATGTCTGTCACGAGTTTTGTAATCCAGTGATAAAAGTGCTTTATAAATGTCAGCAGCTGTTGGCCTTAAAAATGGGAAGTTAGGCAGATGCAGTATCATATTTTAACATGTTTCGAAAACTACTAATAAAAGGAATATAGGGCTCTTCAGTTAAATAGCTAAATAAATTATATGCAGATGTTAGGGGCAGATTTTTATTGAACCTACACTGATGCCATAAGAGGAAAAACTTGCTAAATCACTAAAACACTTACCTTCCAATTTATCTTCTCTCACTACTGCGACCTTGTGGCACTATAAGGAAATAACACTTCGTTAGTGTTTAAAGTAGTACTCGCAATTTTAAAGTTTCACCTATAATTGTGTTTGGATGTGAAATTAGGAAAACACTGGCTATTCCTTAAAATACATGTTACAGTTTAATAAAGTTAGACTCGTTTTTTTATTTGTTTACTTTAAAACTTCTCAATAAAGTTAAGGAAAGTATTACAATATAGATTTCAATACTATAATTTAAAAAATACAGGATCTCAAATCAGCATGAGGAAAAGACCTTTTAGTGAGTGATTTAATGAGAATTACTGCATAATCACATGGAACCAGATAAAAATTAGCTCTGCCCTTCACACCATATACCAGAATAAATTCTAAATGGATCAGAGATTTAAATGGAAAAAATGAAAACATTACATACACTAGAAGAAAACATTGAATTCTTTTATAACCTAAGAATGAGGGAGAGTTTCCTAAATATAATTTAATTTAGAATCCAGAAATTGACATAACCCATAAAAACTAACAAATCAACAACTTTTGAGTGAAAAAAAAAAACTTTAAGTAAAGTGCAAAGACAAATGATAAAGTGGAAAAAATATTGGCAACTTATATCATAAAGCGTTAATATATAGCTTCTAAAAATAAGAAAACAAAGACTAACCACCCTTTAGAAAAATGGGCAAGACGAATGAACAGACAGTTCACAGAAAAAGAAATACAAATAGTCCTGAAAAACATTAACATGTGCTGTGTGGAAACAGGCACCCTCATACATTGTTGGTGAGAATGAGAAATGGAGAGGTATTTCGCAATACCCAACAAAGGTGCATATACATTTACCCTTTGAGTAATACTACTTCTAGGAATATAACCCTAAAACACACTAGCAAAAATATACAAAACACATATACACTGAGCTATTCACTACAGCCCTACTTTAGTAGCCAAACACTGTAAATAACCCAAATAACTATCAATAAGGGACTGCTGAATGAACTAAGGTATATCTATCAATGTAGCCCTATCTGTGGCTATAATAAGGAATGAGGAATATTTCTATAATTGCTATGCAGTGATGTTCAGGATCTACTGTTAAGCAAAAAAAAGCAGAGTGCAAAATAAGTTGTACAGTTTGAAAACTTTTATCTAAGAAAGGGGGTAATATGAATATATATTTGCTTATATTATAAACATATACAACAACAAAAACAATGGAAAGAGAAGACAAAACCAATACCTGTAAGGGAAAGGAGGGAACCTTTATTGAAAGCAAAATAGAAAAACAAATTGAATATAACTAGATACTGAATTGGTGGCTTTACCACAGTGCGGAATTATTTCAAGTGATTTAAAATTCAGGATGACTGTGCATCCTTAGCAGGACATATCTTACCAACAAAAAACTGCAAAGAAATCTTAAACTATTTTCAGTAATCAAATTATTAGTAATAATATTGGTTTTGCTTTTCTAAGCCTCATATATTTGGCTAAAGTAAATACATATTCATGTTAATGTTAGAAACCACCAAAATTTACAACATAAGAGAAAAGAGCAATATAAAAATCAAAGAAGTTAAAAAAGAAGTGTAATCATAAATTTGAACTGGGAACATTAGTATGTTTTCATAATGTGTTTTCTCTTAAAAAAAAAAAAAAAAAACCAAAACAAGCATACCTAAAAATGTCATTTTCATTGGTTTATTCAAGGGAAGAAAAAAATGTCATGTTCTGCAAAACTGCACACTAAAAATTACAGAGCTTATTATAAAAATTACACAGCATTAGGAACTCACCACTCAAAACCTATGCAGCTTGGTAGTAAGAGCCCTAAAAACACCAATTTGTACCTCAGGAGAAAATTTGGACATTCCAGACAGTTCAGTGTGGTTAAATACTGCCTCAGGGGATATATGAAAATGCATAAAAACAACAGAGTGAAAATGTCAGCTGGTGCTAAAACAATGCAGACCAGAGTGGAGCCTTGATTCAATGGATTCCTGGTAAGGTGGACACAAGGAGTAAGTTCAGCATCCACAAACCCAGAGTCTAGCAGGGGGCAAGTCCCCTGAGCATTTTAGCAGGTAAGGGAAACTATGGCTAGTTGATCAGAGAAAATTCTTCATACGAAAGCTTCCAGCTAATAATACAGAAGGATTAAAACATCGTTATTTTGTAACCTCTAGTCAATTAATGATTTAGGCAATAATACAGCTAAAATCATTAAATGAAAAGCTAATGGGGAACTCATAAAGGATAGGTCAGATTGACAGCACTTCACATCACAAAAAGATAATCAACCAAACGTTACCTTGAAATTTTCAAATTCTCTGGAAGAATCTCTGGGATGAGATTTGAAGGAGGCTTTCACTTTCTGCCTATTGTTAAACAATTTTTACAATCCCAATCATTGGAAAAATAAAATTTTTATATACACATATTTTTTTCTGAGACAGAATCGCGCCATGTTGCCCACACTAGACTGCAGTGGCGTCATCGTAGCTCACTGCGACCTCAAACTCCTGGGCTAAAGGGATTCTCCTGCCTCAGCCTCCCAAGTAGCTGCAACTACAGGCATGCGCCACCATGCCCGGCTAATTTTTCAATTTTTGGTAGAGACAGGGTCTCACTCTTGTTCAGGCTCTCAAACACCTGGCTTCAAGCAATCCTCCTGCCTCGGCCTCCCAGAGTGCTAGGATTATAGGCATGAGCCACTGTGCCTAGCCAAAATTTATATTTTTTAAAAACCCATATAAAGTCTATGATGCTATAATGTTTTTTTCTTTCTAGAAACACTTAAAACTTTAAAAAGAAATTAGAAGAATTTGAATAAGAAAAGCTGATATTATGCTTAAAAATTTGCCTTTCCAGGCCGGGAGCAGTGGCTCACACCTGTAATCCTAGCACTCTGGGATGCCGAGGCGGGTGGATTGTTTGAGGTCAGGAGTTCGAGACCAGCCTGAGCAAGAGTGAGACCCCGTCTCTACTAAAAACAGAAAGAAATTAGCTGGACAACTAAAAATATATATATAAAAAAAATTATCTGGGCATGGTGGCACATGCCTGTAGTTCCAGCTACTCAGGAGGGTGAGGCAGGAGGATCGCTTGACCCCATGAGTTTGAGGTTGCTGTGAGCTAGGCTGATGCCATGGCACTCTAGCCCAGGAAACAGAGTGAGACTCTGTCTCAAATAAAAAAAAAAAAAAAAAATTTGCCTTTCCTTAGGAGGACTATAAGGAAAAAAAGCACAGGTAAGCATCCGCACTTGGTCAGTTAATTCTACGAAGTTCCAAAAAGATTCCCAGTAAGGCTATAGGAGGACAAGTCTAGAGTTCCAAAATCCTCACAACCACTTCAACTACAGCAACCTCATTATTAATTTATTGTATATATAGGGTTCTGATTAAGATTTTGTTTGAAAAAGCATTCTGCTACTTTAAAAAAGATGGGCAGAATTTAAACAACCTCTTAAATTTAGAAATAGAAGGCCCTCTATAAGCAAGCTATGGCTTAGAAGTTTTTAACTGATTATAGGTTACACATCATTTTGAAAACTGGTCTCAGAAAAACGCACTGAGGAACACAATCTGAATGCACTTTCAGTCGCATCTAAGAATCCCCTGGATTTTGAAGACCAATCACAAAACCATCTAAGGATCCCAAATTATGAGCCCACTATAATGTAACAATTAGAGTAAAAATCTGCATTATCTTAAAATATAAATTCTTAACTTTGGATCCTATCCCAGCAGATCTATGAGCTCTCAAAATTTTATGAATGTCAACATACGCATTTTTCTTTCAGATTCTCAAAGAGATCAGTGACCAAAAAAAGAATACAAATCATTGTTTGAAGGAACACAATGATTCCCAGGTAAAGACTTGACTATGATTAGACTGAGGGTGTTGACATAACTAAGGAAAGATAAAGAAGGAGGTTAGTTAACCTTGGCAACAGAAGAAAATATGACATTCAGCTGTAAACTTTAACTGTATCCATTTAAGAGCCATACAGGGAGAGAATTCTGGAGGCAGGTTTATCTCTGAGAGTAATTGAATCAGGTCTGCTTAATTCTGTGTTTCAGAGATACAATGACATCTTATTCTACACCTCAAACATCTTGATTATCATTTGGCTTGTCAAATAGCTTGCCAACAAGGAAAGAATACGCTAGCTAGAGAATATAAGGATCTGATCCCCTTAGCAGTTTTGTTTCTCCTTGTAAATTACTAAATTGACATTCCAGTTTAAAATCTCACATGCTTGGGACTCTATCACTGAAAAAAAAAATCCAGTCAATATTTTGACAAAGCAGGGCTCTGAACCTATGATTCCAAGGGAAAGTCAAAGGGAAGAGGAAAATGTACACATTAGTGGATCTGAGAAGGGGCCCTGATCTTTGGACTGAGTCCCACAGGGCTCATGGTGGTAAAAACAAAAGAACTTTCAGATAGGAGGTTTGACGGAGGTGAAAACAGAGGAGGTATGGCTTACTTTTGGGAGGAAGCCAGAGAGAGGGAATTACTAAAGTTCCCAGGGTTCAGTCTGGTGCAGGAGAAGGAATGAGATATCTCAGCAGAGCTTTTGGTGCCTACCAAGGCATGGGAGCAGTACAATAATCTCCGTTCCCCTAAGAGGGACATGGAAGTAGCTAAGAGAAAGTCAGCACACTTGGGAAAGTTTTATGGTCAAGACAATGAAAATACAGCAGTGACCTGTGTTGATGGATGGCCAGCCAGATGGGACTATAAAAAGAAGATGCAGAATAAAGACATTCCCAGCCCATGTGCCCCATTAGCTCAGCCCCTGCCAACAACCCCTACCTTTCAGCCACTTAGACATATGCTTACCAAAATGAATGCTCAAAATTAAAATGAAGTTCAGTTCAAAAAAATAAAATTACATTTTGTGAACACTTATGTTTGTGGCTTAAAATTTGAATAGGCTAAAGATTAACCAACATTTTCAAGAGGGAAAAAGAGGTACAGGTAATGAAAGAAGCAGTCTTCTAACATCTTGT